TTCACACATATCCATACACGTACATATATATACCTATATATATCCATACCCTCCCTCCCCCTATATATAATGTCTATTTTAATAATAATAATAATAATAAATAATAATAATAATAATAATAATAATAATAATAATAATTAATATACATATTATTATACAAAACTGCTGAACTTTTACCAACAATCTGTTAATAGGGGCGTTAAACCTATACCATTTCATTTATTTTTTACTAACAATCATTTATTATGTTGACATTAGGTGTTCAAGTCATACCACACCCTCACTGTGCTAGCAAAATGGTATATCAATTTTTAACAGTTTTTTGAGATAAATGGGGGGAAAACTTGTTTAATTAGAGCATTTTTCATCTTAAAATGGTATGACTTGCCATGCACTTTTCCTTTGAGACTGCCAGAAATCCTCTGGTAGAATAATGCTACCCGGAACTTTAAAATCATGGGATATAGATGAGTTGTGCCATTTCACATCTAACCATACCACTCCTACCATTCGTACCGCCTACGCTAAAAGCCAAAGCAACCTCCTTGTTCCTAACTAGGTACAGCAATTTCCCTGTCCGACTTTGGTATGAAGGCTACATCATCTGGTCACCTACGGTCCTTCTGACCACCTCCTGTGACATCGTGGTTACCTACTATCCTTTTGACACTCAGGTAAGAGGATCAATTGGTCACTCAAGTGGCACCTGTCTGAAAACATGGTTAGATCAGTAAAATAACAAACAATGCCCCCCCCCCCCTTTCTTTTTGCCCCTTTCAATTTAAAACATGCATTCTGCCCTAATGCACATATCCCGGCTCGCCGATAAGATAAGATAAAATAAGATAAAATAAGATAAGATAAGATAAGATAAAATAAGATACGATCATCTCTCTGTCTGTCTGTCTGTCTGTCTGTCTGTCTGTCTGTCTGTCTCTCTCTCTCTCTCTCTCTCTCTCTCTCTCTCTCTCTCTCTCTCTCTCTCTCTCTCTCTCTCTCTCTCTTTCTCTCTTCCTTTTTCGTTCTCTTTTGCGTGCACAAACACAAACTCAAGCACACTAACAAACAAAACAAAAAACTCACGTAGACATACAACAACAAAATAGCCAAAATATGTGAATATCATGTTCTTTTCAGATTTGCTCGATACAATTTGAAACAGTGATATCTGACAGCGAAGAACTAGACATTTTCATAGACACCGTAAGTGATAAAAAGTAAACTTTGTTGTTGTTGTTGTTGTTGTTGTTGCTATTTTTGTTCTTGTTGTTCTAGTTGTTGCTGTTTTTGCTGTTGTTGCTGTTGTTGTTGTTGTGGTTGTTGTTGTTGTTGTTGTTGTTGTTGTTGTTGTTGTTGTTGTTGTTGTTGTTGTTGCAATTCGTCCATCGTAGTTTTTGACAGATTATAATTTATTATTGGTTTATCAATGCAATACATAAAGATAAATAGATAGACGGAGTTATAAGAGTATAAGTAGTATATTAGATTGGAATGTGAGAGAGGAAGACAGGTAGATAAAAAGAAAAGCAGGTATACAGAAAGATAGACAGACTGGCAGACAGACCGGCAGTGTAACGAATAGATAGATAGATAGATAGATAGATAGATAGATAGATAGATAGATAGATAGATAGATAGATAGATAGATAGATAGATAGACTTTGAATGTCAATAGACAAATAGATAGATTGTTTTGGAGGCCGGTAGATGGATAGAATAGATTTGAATGGAATAGAATACAATAGATAGATAGATCGATAGATAGATAGAAGGATAGATAATGTGTTTCTTCCAACAGACGGATCCCGTTAAGACAGCGCGGTACAGTCAAGACGGGTCGTGGATTCTGGTGGCCAGTTCTGCCGAGAACCTGAGCGACCAATCTGGCAAGCCTGCCATTAAGTTCTCGTTCCTCCTGAAGAGACGCACAACTTTCTTCATCGTCAACATTATCCTGCCTGTGAGTTCTGCTTGACTTGATTTTTCTCTGCCTTTTTCTTTCTTTCGTTCTCTTTCTCTGTTTCTTTCTTCCTATCTCTGTCACTTTTCTCGCCCACTCTATCTATCTATCTCTCCGTCTCTCTCTCTCTCTCTCTCTCTCTCTCTCTCTC